TTGTTGCACTAACTGATGGGACAATGTACGCGCTGCGCTATTTATCAGATAACTGATGGGACAGTGTACGCGTTGCGCTATTTATCAGAAATTGGTGAGGTGGAATACTCATACTCGCTGGAGTTAGGCTATCCGTGATGTCCTATAGATCGATCTAGATATGTAACCAGGTTCAAGCTTCTCCTGCACGCTAGCATGCAGGCACTACTAGAAATTAAAATATTTTTTTTGGGTGTTAGCCTTTTTTTTTTCCCGGGTGACACTACTAGAAAAACCATTTTTCCCGACGTGGGGTCTCATTTTCACAGGCGGACATGACCCTTAGAGTCAAATGACCGCCTACGAAAATATAAATCGGAGTGAAATTTGATGTCCGCCTGCGAAAATAGACTTGAATATAAATACATGCTGGCGGCAATTTTTTCTAAATCCTTAGTCCTCCCCTCCACACCTCTCCTCCTCACCTCTCCTCACCACCGGCCCCTCCCCTCTCCTCTTCTCCCCTCCCCTCACTTCTACTCTCCCCGGCGGCGGCTCCCGGCGGCGGCGGCGGGCGGTGGCGGCGAAGGGCGGCGAGGAGGCGAGGCGGCGCGGCCGAGGAGTCGATGGAGGAGGGCGGCGCCGAGGAGGGCGACAGAGCAGGTAGGCGAGGCGGCGCGGCCGAGGAGGCCGGCGGCGGCGCCGACGGCGTGGAGCGGCGACGGCGAGGGCTAGACGGCAGCGGCGGCTCCCCTCCCCCCTCCCTCCCAAATCTGGCCAGAGGAGGAGGGGGGAAGGCCGGTGGTGGTGACGACGGCGTGGGTCAGGCGGCGGCGGCGGCTCCCCTCCCCCGCTCCCTCCCAAATCTGACCGGAGGAGGGAGGGAGGAGGCCGGCGGTGGCGCCGATGGCATGGAGCGGCGACGGCGCGGGCTAGGCGGCGGTGGCGGCTCCCCTCCCCCGTCCCTCCCAGATCTGGCCGGAGGAGGGAGGGGGGAGGCCGGTGGCGGCAACGACGGCGCGGGCCGGGCGGCGGCGACGGCGGCGCGGGCCGAGCGGCGGCGGCGGCTCCCCTCCCCCGCTGCCTCCCAGATCTGACCGGAGGAGGGAGGGAGGAGCCCGGCGGCGGCGCCGACGGCGTGGAGCGGCGACGGCGCAGGCTAGGCGGCGGCGGCGGCTCCCCTCCCCCCTCCCTCCCAGATCTGGCCAGAGGAGGGTGGGGGGAGGTCGGCGGCTCCCGGCGCGGGCCGGCGATTTTTTTTGGTTCGTTTCTTCTATTTTCGCAGGTGGGCCGTTGCCCCGACTGCGAAGATGGATGATTTTCGCAGTCGTTGTGGTGCAGGCGGACCTCTCTCCCGCCTGCAAAAATGCTTTTTCTAGTAGTCTGACCCAAAAGAAAAGGTACTGCAAAAATGGTGGAGACCGTCTCATGGTCATAGGGTGCTCAATCGGGGGAAGTATTAGTGCAATCATGATAAGTTGCTGTAAAATCAAAGTTCGTTTGTTTATTATTTTGTGATGAACAATTGGCATATAAGATTATTGGTTTTGATATTTTTGGAGATTATCGGCGAAGTGGTTTTGGAGATGATTAGTTTTAGATTGTGAACATGATCAATTCTGTCAGATTGGACCGAGAAGGACAAGTTGGCAGTGATAAGTTCAAACTTTTCAAGATAATGGAAACGTTTTAAATCCTTGAAAAGTGCAATTATATCTATGAAATTAGATAGACACACAAACACGATTTATAACAGATATTATATTCACACAAATGTTCTACATGTGTCGCCCCGTGCTTTTTAATATGGCAAAAACATACTTCAGTAAAAATCGCATGAGTTGTGACTGTTTTACTCCCCTAAAACAATGAAGGATTTTTACTGCAGTTGTTGTGCAGTTTTTATTTGGGCATAAAATTAGCTACCCACACTCTAGAACTTAGATAATAAATAGCATATATATAGCAGGTTGGTAGATGATTAGTATCTGATTAGAGAATTATGGATAGTGGGTGCTATTGCAGGTGCTAAGTTCTAATAGTGGTTTTTAGAAAAAACAACCACAAATTTAGATTGTACATTAATACTAATATAAAGTTTCACGTAAAATCTAGAATTTAGACTGCATACTTATTTACTCCTTCATTTTATAATATAAAATAATTATGAAATAACAGATAAATATATAAGATAAATAAGACACCATACGTGAAGAACATTGTTTTAGCATTCCAGCGGTCCAATAAAGTCAACAGCATACTGCTACAAAGAAACCAGATTACTTCTGACAGCCACAAACCGTCGGGAAAATCTATTATCACGTCAGGAAAATATATCCTGACATGTTACCGTCAGGGAAATCCCGTCGGGATTGGCTTGTCAGCGAAATTTTAATTTACCTGACGGATCCTCGTCAGGATAATTAATCCTGACGTGGGTGGCCATCACAACTAATTTTTCTGACGTTATGTGTGCCATCAAGAAAATAAAAATAATGATGACGTGGATTCAACCCATCAGCCATATCATGGTTTTGTTTTGACAGTTACACCACGTCAGAAAATTAAAGCTGGAGGTCCAGCGGCTACACCCCCAGCAATGCTCATGATACAAAGCACGCACATAAATGCTCCAAACGTCAGGATCAATATTTCATAAGAACACAAGTATCAATGGTCATACATGTATCAAGTGTTAATATTTCATTATATCATTGATATGCAAATACCAAGCTCAGGTTTAGTATTACAATATAACACAAGTTTAGTATTACAACATAATGCACAAACCATCAACATCTAGAATTTACTTGACACTAAGACTACAAGTTTCTAGAGATGCTCCGGCCATTGCTTATTTACCACTTGAGATTATCATGCATCCTTTAATTCTTTTCGGAGATGGGTAATAACACCAGCACTGCTCCTTGAGACACAACAATGCAACCTTGCTGCCTATCTACAAGTCCGATTTCATTATACATTTTTTGAATTGAACAATGTCTATCAAAACAAGGGATGCAAGAAAGTACATAGATTCAAAGCATGGAGACAAATTGGCATCCATCGGTTCAGTAATATCTAGAAAAATTACCGACAGAACATAAAAGCAGCTATTTCAACCTCAGCAGCCCAAATTGACATGATAATTTCAATAGAATTTAGGCATATGAATTATTATCAATTCATTCATTATAAAGACCTTTGCCATAAGTCAAACCACTCTACATCAACTCAAAACTTGCCTCAGTGTTTAAAATCAAGATTAAAAATGTCAGTTGTTATTTTAGATAAATGCCTATGATGTCTGTTGTACTAATACCCACTAATCAAGTTATGGAGAGAAAGGTGGCTGCTAATATCCTAGGTAAGAATAAACAGAAGAGCACAAGTTGTACTACAATTAGCACCGCATAACCAAGTTCCACAAAAGAAATAGATAGTCTTAATGCAAATGATCCAAAATAATATTCATTGATTTGTTAGTGATATGCCCTAGAGGCAATCATAGAGATGATTGTATCACATACTATGTTTACATATTTATCCGACATTGTTCCTTGAATTAGATAACTCCTTATTGGTTAATGAATATGTGATTCTTTCATTAAACTCTTTATGTTGTTTGTTACTATTTCTAAAGGATTCCTGATCAAATATCATATGTGGAACAAATATGTTTATATGATCAGCACATGTATTAATTGATGATCATGTCTCATGGATCATGGTATAGAGATACCAAATTAATAATGTGGACACATGTTGGTGAACATGTTGTTGGATAGACCCAACATGAGACACTACAAAAGCCATATGTGTTGTGTCATCAGTGATCTCATTTAGTGTTGGTGTTGAATCCTTAGACCTGAGATTATCATGGTTCTCAACATGTGTAGCATCTTACTTAGGGACTGCTAAACGCTACTCCGTAAATGGGTAGCTATAAAAGTAGTTTTCGGGTATGCTATGAAACATGTAGTGGAATATGAATAATCAAGATGGGATTTTACCCTCCTATGGAAAGATATCTCTGGGCCCCTCGATGTCGCAGATTATGGATGTGCATGGCCCATGCCGAAGGTGATTGAGGAGTCAATCACAAGTTATATAATCTATCAACAGGTTCGAGTGAATGATTGAGCTATTAAAGGATGGCACATATCTAGCCTTGAGCTTAATCGATATCGTGAGGCAAAGGGGTTCATACAAGTATACACTAGAGGTTCAGCCGATATGATCTTTATGTATACCCGGTGGGTCAATACGTTCTGCTAGGAGCCGCTGTTGACGCGTGGACCGAAAAGGAATTTTCGGGTTACAGCCGAGTATGTATGAACCTACAGGGTCGCACGCTTAATGGGCCGGAATAAGGGGATTGGATAGAGATCCAATATGAGCTTAATTCGGATAGGGATCCGAATAGGAGTCCTACGGGCCTTGGAGGCCCGAGTGATAGATCCTATATATTCGTGAGGGGTGTGACCGGCGAAGGCAATTGCATCACGTGAGAAACCCTAGCCGTCACCTCCCTCCCCGAGCAAAACCCTAGCCGCGCCCGGGTGCTAGCATATCTGCGCGTGGCGTTCCGTCCCTGTACGTGTTGATACCGGTAGAGGCGCCGCTGGTTTGCGGTGCTGATCGGCTTGGTAGTACGGCGAGGAGAATTCACGATGAGGTGAAGGTCGAGCCGGTGCGATCGACTACTTCCTCTACATCGACGCGCGCTACTTCGCTAGAGTTCCTTCGACTTCTCAGCATCTTTTTCTGCTGCGCAGCGTGTCGAGTGGTAACGATTTATGATCTAATACTTGCATGGTTCCTGGTTTACGCGATAGAAAATTTTGATTTATGCTATTGTAGCCTACGCGTATCCCAACATGATTATGATCATTCATGATTTAATTTAATCAAGTCTGAGTACATATTTCTATTACCCAACTTAAGTTGTGGTAACCATTCTTATCACTATAGAATCAATATGGGCAACTGCACTAAGAAAACAACAAGACACATTGGTATATCATCAAACATGCGTAACAGCTACCATTGTATTGCTTGTAACACAATAGTGGACAGTAAAATCATCGACAATTCAGCTTACGAAAGATTTTCTCTGGAAGGACAGGAAGAGGTGGACACCAAAAAGCCTGCGATACTGTGGAGATTAATCCTGCACAATCATGTAAAGGTGTAACTGACACTAAAAGTGCAGCAATTTTCAACCATAAAAATTGTGAAATCATTGTCTGCAGCTGCAAATAAATTGAGCCCTCTGAGAATTTTCTGGAAAAACCTAAGTTTAGAAAATTTGCTGAAACTAGCCTTTGAATGGTAGAAGAGAACGGGCATTGGTTTTCTTTACAAATCGCGTGAAAATATGATAAGCTTCAGATGTATTCAAATCTGCCATCATAATTCTCTGGAGAAGATATTAGCCACCATTTTCATTTTATATATCTAAAAGGCATAGAGAGGAAAATATAGCCAGAGCAAATAAAGCTACTTCACATCTCAGGAAGAGACAAATCTTCTACAGTCCTATAGCAAAGCAACTAATTAAATTAGGCAAATAGCAGAGTATACAAACAAAGGCCTAATAAAAGTACTGAAAAATTAGCCCATTTGGAAGCAATCACATATATTGACTTTGCTGCAACTATATGAACAAAAGATAAGCTGCTGATAGAACGTCAAACAAATCACCACTAGATTATTTTCAACACAATCTGCTACAGAACAACAAAAAATAAAAATGGGGGCGCTAGGAGTAGTAAGTTTACCTCATATTAGTATTCCCTAGCCTTTTACCCATCCTTATTAGCGTCATGCCTATGCATCTCCTGTTCTCGAAAAGCATCCACTGGAAGGAATATAATAACAAAACAAAGTCAAGCTAGGGAGGGTATAGCAAGAAATAACAAAGGGGTTTATTCACAGCTCACATTAGAACTTTGCTGTTGTAGATCTAACAGTTAAATTTACCAACAGATCTAGGGTGCATCAACAGATCAACTTGCACTGAAAAAAGAAAAAACAAGAACATAGAACTCACCAGATTCAAAGAAAAATGACAGTAAAAGAGAGTAACTTACCCCAGGTAGTTCTTGGTTTTGATGGAGTAGATTCAGCCTCGAACAGGAAAAGGCCGCAGGAGATGCTCGAGCTTGGCAGAGACTGCAACTTCAGATCTGAACGGAGAGGGAGACATGAAGTCCACCGTTGGAACGGGATTCAGATTAGGTGACACAGTGTATGCATGTCACAAAGTGACATATAGTCGATCTCAGCCCTCTAAAACAAATCCAATGACTCCATTGCTTGGGCCCGCCTGCATGTCCAAAATAATCCCCAATCCATCCATTCCCGTGGGAGACGGCGCCCCAATCCATTTCGCGCGCTTCGCATCGCCCTCGTTCGGCTGCCGCCATGAGCCAACTGGGAGGTGCACCGTTGCCATGACCGGAGAGGCGCCAGGCCACCGGGCTCGCCGCGAGTGGGGAGGGGACCGGGCGACCGCCGCGCGAGGCACCTGAGCTCGCCTCGCCCGCGTCCGGCCATTGCCGCGAGCCAGCTAGGAGGCTCGTCGCCGCCATGACCGGAGAGGCGCCAGGCTGCTGGGCTCCTCGCGAGTGGGGAGGGGACCAAGTGACCACGCCCAAGGTCGAGGCTGGGGCCCTGTCGTGCCACCACGGGCGGAGGCGCGTGGAGGCGGCCGGCCGCTAGGCCTGACGTGTGCTTCAACAATACGATATCATTAGTGATTTTACCCAGCTTGTGACACCACCAAGTTGTGATGATGATATTCTCTGTGATCAAGATCTGTACTAATCTTTGCAAGATGGTTACATGGCTTTTGGACAGGATGGTTAGGTAGCTTTTGTACATGATGGTTTGATTGCTTTTGGACAGGAATGATTAAATGCCTTTTCGACAGGACTAACTATAGTATTTTGTGGTCTCTGTTTAGTATTTTGGACAGGGCCGACGGTAATATTTTGTGGCCAAATTGTACAAGTGAACATGGCCTACCCTTAGAATAGTTGTTCTGTATGCTCCAAATAATTGTTTAAATGACATGTATGATCCAAAACTTATCTCACAACATTACCAACTTCTATATGGTTGTTTTCAAGTTTTTGTGTTTTTTGAATGCTCCAAGTTTAAAGTTTCTACATATTGCAATTATTTTCATCTCTCCATCCATCAATTATGGGGATATATATGCTGTCAAATTTTTTAGAAAATAATATCACATAAACTCTGCATGCTTCTTCCAAGACAAAGATCATGGCCAAACATATATTAGCTCATGTGCAGTTGATGTACAACGTAAATACTCATGTTTGATTGGGAGATTAAGGTGAAATCATAAGCAAAGAGAAATATGCGGGTAAATGAAGCTTTATAACTTCTGCAAGTCCAGGAATAGGATGGCATGATGACATGATGTAACACATGAACTGAAACACTTTGAGATCAGAAAACACAAGAGTTCAGTTGTAGTTTCAGGTTTAACAAGAGAACATAAGCAATGTATGCGTTTCCATCTGAATGGAATGCAATGCTACAGAAGTTAAATAGTACTAGTACAAAATCTGATTTGTCTAGGACTGACTACATGGCATCAGCTAATGTACTCTTTTGAGGGTACATTATTGCTAACAGAACTGATCAAAACAACGGTGGAATCCTCTTGAGACAGCACCATGTCCATTTCATTCTGTAGAACTAATTAACAGGAAGATTGCAAGTATGTATACATCTCAATGTGCTCCGCCAAAGCCAGGATCTTGAGATGCTTCTTTTTCCTGAGTTCGTAGGGAACAGGACGACTTCAGGCAGGGGGGCCGCCCGCCTCCACCAGCGCGCTGTAAGGCCTGGCGACCGGCCGACTCCATGGGACCCTGGTCGTGGTGGCAGGGCAGGGCGGCCTGGCGGCTCTCCGGCCGTGGCGGCACAGCAGGGCCCCGGCCCCGGCCTCGCGAAGCGGTCGCCCGGTCCCCTCCCCATTCGCGGCGAGCCCGGTAGCCTAGCGCCTCTCCGGTCACGGCGGCGGCAAGCCTCCCAGCTGGCTCGCGGCGACGGCCGGATGCGGGCAAGGCGAGTGCGGTCGCCTCGCGCAGCGGTCGCCTGGTCCCTTTCCCACTTGCGGTGAGCCCAGCGGCTTGGCGCCTCTCCGGTCACGGCGGCAACGCACCTCCCAGCTGGCTCGCGGCAGTGGCTGAACAAGGACGGTGCGAAGCGCGCGGGATGGATTGGGAGCGCCGTCTCCCTCTGGGATGGATGGATTGGGGATTATTTTGGACCTACAGATAGGGCCCAAGCAACCAAGTCGTTGGATTAGTTTTGGAGGGCTGAGATCCACCCTATGCCACCTTGTGACATGCCTTTACTATGTCACCCAGTCTAAATCTGTTGGAACGGGTGCCCTAGTTGGTGGGGGAGCAGGAGGATGCCGGAGGTAGTGTTGGAGGATAGCTGGAGCCTGAAGATTGCAGGGGAGAGCACTTATGTGCTGTGTGGTATGGGATATTTTACCCTATGTTATTTGCTTTGGCCATTCCCAGTGTCCTGACTGGTGAAAGCACGTCAAAGAAACTTGTTGCCCGCGTGTTCGGTGAAATTTTTGGCGCGGCAGCAAAACTATTGGTGCGGTCACATTTTTTTTGGCACGATTTTAATTCAACATGCTAGAATCCTCGCGGGAATCCAAATTTTTTCAATTGACGGCAAATAACGTCAGCAAAATTGGTGTTGTCGTCACGGTGCAAAGAGCACGTCAGGAAAATTCAATTCTTATGACAGCTATACACGCACGTCACAAAAGTTCTTGTACTTCTGATAGTTCAATATATACACGTTAGGAAAATTTTAGGCCGTCAGGGCTTGTTGAGTTTCGGGTAGTAAGCGGTCGCAAAGTGCTATTGTGTCCGCTATCTTAGGTCCGCTAGCTTGTAGTGGTAGCGGTAGACATTCGCTACTGCTATGAACACTGTTTATTGCCTTGGTCTAAGTATAACTTGGTGCTTTACTTTTTCTTAAATTTCTGTAGGCCAAACACAAAGAAAGATAGATCATCAGGACAGGAACTATTAGCTCAGTATGAACCAGACTGTAGCTAGTAGATCAACCATTAATTGCAACTCATTTGATTTCCCCCCTCACAGAAAACTCATTTTGGTACATTTTAACGGGAAATTTAACTATTTGCCATTTTTACGTTTGACAATTAACCAAATGCCCTTCTTAGATTTGCAGTTAAGAATTTGCCACTGGAGAGAGAAGCTTTTGTAATTTTTTGCCACTTTAATTTCTGCACTGTGCAGCGCCACATATACATGCCAGCATGGAGCAGGCACGCGAAATGACTAATCTACCCCTGTTAGCAATTGGCTGTAATATAAGCTGAATCAGGAATAATATTTGGACAAAATTGCTTTCGCAAAATCAGTTGCATAGGTATGGATGCTGTTCACTTTTATGAGGTTACTGTATGAAAGACCGAGTACATCCACATCAGATAACAAATCAATATTTGAAGGAATAGATCCGCTGAGATGGTTATAAAAAATTTTAAAAACGATACTTAGGCTAAGTTCTTTTGTTCACTTTCACAACTAATCTCTCTCGTTTTTTATGTGTACGTTTTTTAAACCACTGGTGGAGAAACCGTTTGTAGTCCCGGTTGGTAACACCTATTTAGTCCCGGTTGTCCAACCGGGACTATGAATCCGGGACTAAAGATAGCTATCTTTAGTCCCGGGTGAAATAATCGGGACTAAAGATCGATCTTTAGTCTCGGTTCGTGTTACCAACCGGGACTAAAGAACACGAACTGGGACTAAAGATCGATCAGCCACGTGGCCGATCAAACCATCTTTAGTCCCGGTTTATGTTACCAACCGGGACTAAAGATCGGTGCACCATTTTTTTTTGCATGGCCCTGTTTGCTGCATGGTTGATTATATATATATATATATATGTTACAATACATATATATGCATAATATATAGGCATATATATATATGTGTGTGTATGTATAAATCATATATTATATACACACACATATATATAATTTAAAGCACTTAACATTTTATGTGCATATATATATGTTACCAAAATATATATTAACACAAAAGTAAATGTGTACATATATAAATATATATATATATATACATGCATATATAGTACAATTCATTTGCTCGGTAGCCGCTATAGCTACGACTTCGACTTCGACGCCGGCGTTATGTCAGAAGAGGAAGGACCGACGTTATGAATTGTCGAACAGTCGTAGTAGAATTCACCGTCGAGATTAAGGACTTCTTCGTTGATGAATCCCATCAGTTGTTCTTGAACAGCTATGATAAAATCCTTTTGTGGGAGATTATCCCTCATGTGAATACGCTATCATTCGAAAAATAATGACGTATCAATATATGAAATTAATAAACAAATTAACAAATCGATACGCAATGAACTTTTGAATGGTTTATGTATACGTACATCGAGCTCTCGTGTTGTGCATATTTGGTTTGATAGGCAGTGGGCATACTCGCATACGTAGTAGCCGCATAAGTTAGTTCTCTGGTCCTGCTATGCACACTACATGAGAAACGATGAGAGATTTAATATACTCTTTATATTAACTGTAATTAGAGATTCAATTCAATATAATTTTGGATCATGCATGTACTCACTGGAAAATGAAACCTCCGTTCAAGTTTTTCTTTCCAAGTCCTGCGGACCAATTGATGGAACCGATCCCAAGCCCTACATATGCAGTTGCAAGCTATGATTAATTAAATATTACCTGAGATCAACATAATAGCAATAGATTCCCCACGACTTTGGAATAGATGGCATTATATTACCTGTCTATCAGTTTGAAGACCTTGTCAAAAATCTTCTCCTCTTTATTCATTGAGTCGTACACAGTGACTCTGCATGCATCCAAGTCGAAGAATAACAGGACCAAGTGGAATCTGGAATATGCGCGCGCGTGAGATGAGATATATATGATCGAAAATGCACATGCTATATGTATGGGAATGAAATTTGTTCGAACGACAATAAAAACTCACTCTGTGTTGTACGGCAGTAGTATGTATGTCTTGAAATGCTGCTGCGTTAGGAGATGGACGAGATTGTCCTCTGTGTCTTTCTCGTACTTGTCGACCATTTCGGTGTTGATTCTCTGAGGGTCGATGAACCCAGTGTCGTAGACCCTCCGCCGTCGGGCCCTTTGAATCTCCATTCTACAACGATGAAAGGAAAATATTATTGCTTACATATATGCCAGGAGCTAATTATTGAACGAAACAAATCGAACTCAAAGATACTCACAAAATCCATGCGCTCAGAAGAGAGACGTCGAGGGCGTCCAACTGGTACAGATCGAAGAAATCCTTGAAATGGATCCAGAGAACATCGTCTCCTTGCAAGAAGTCGGGGTTTCTGATCCTCGCTCTGAACATCTCTCTACCGTTGGCGCTCATTTCCATGTACCGTTCATGGAATTTGTACATCTGTGTCGGTAGGGACTCCACCTGTTCAGGTTTGACAAGCGGTTTACCGAGTTCAAACTTGTTTGCCACTTCCGCCTCCGGGATTGGTGCGCCTCGAACCAACTGATCCAAAGTTAGACCGGTGTCTGCAATGAAATCCGTTATGCCAAAATCTTCGCCGGTCACCAACGGCTCGACCTCTTGGTTTGGTTGTTCTCCAAGCTGAGGGACTGGTTTGGACTTCTTGTGCTAGGCTCTCTGAAGTGTTCGGTCATAGTCCGATATCTGTAACGCCTTCTTGTTTGTTGTGGACATTCCCTTGAAGAAGTTCTTCACGCTCGGGTCAGTAGGTATCTTCTTTTCAGGACTCCGAGGCTTGAGTTGCCTCTTCACCTCTCCTGCCACATAAGCATCAAGCTCCTCTTGACTGCAATCGTATGGTGGCTCCTTGTTTTTGGTGGCGTCAACCTTCGCCTTCTTCGTTGCCCTTGTGCGGGCAGGCGGTGGAGCTTGGCAAGACCTTGTCTTGGGAGGTGCAGGCGGACACGGTGGAGGCGGAGGAGCCGGAGGAGATGGTGCAGCGGCAGGTGGCGG